CTTAAAACTTTGCTACGTTCCAGTCACATGGCAATGTTCAGGAAAGAGAACAGAGAACATTCAAGCTCTCCAACCAAGGAGAGGTTGGGAAGAACAGGGTTCCATGAGCTCCAGGAAGAGAGGAATTGTCACCATCCCTAGCACGGGTTATTGTAGTTGATAACATCTTCTGTGATTTGCCAAGTTCAAGCAGGGATGGGGAGTGATAAAGAGACCCACAAATCCTATAGACAGTGCAAATCACTGCTTGGTACATGTCCATCAACTCTCCAAGAAACGACCCATTCCACCCCAGTACCTAAGTCAATTGTGCACTTTTGCAAGAGGAATTTACTTTTCAAAATATCAGACAATGAAGGAGTGCATAATTGAGTGAGCACAAATGAGTGGTCCTCCTCTCGGGAGCAGGAAGGAGAAACACAGTTGTGAACTGGATGAGTGTTTGATGGGGGGGTGTTCCCGTGCTCGTGGAGGCTTCCCAATGCACTCAGGGTGCTGGAAAATCATCGGTCTAAGATATATGGCAGCCCTCCGCAAATACAGAAGACTCCCCAGGTCACACAGTCAGCCACCATTTTGTGGAGGATGGTGAGGCTGTTGGGTGTGGAACATCCCCTGAATGTGATTATTAGACGTGGCATCAGAATGTCTGCATGGGGCTTTTGTCTGTCATTTGAATTGCAATGGCAGGAGGAAGACCTGGGCTCCATCGAAAGAAATGATATGAAACGTTCTAATATTATGTCTATCAAAGGAGAAAGATTGGTTATCCACCCTTTTACATGGCTAGGCGAAAACAGCTTAAGAATAGAATAGTAAGATCAGTCAAAACATAAGCCGCTATTACAGCATGATACTTTCTTTTTATCTCCCGATGTCACCTCTGTCCCACAGAGTTTTTTCGAACTGTCTTCACCACATTCTTTGACGTAATTAGTCAATTTGCCATTTTGTCCTGGAGAGAGATGGATAAGTACTTTCCCCACATTTTAAACTTCATTTAAAAATATGCACTTAAATAGAATTTTGAATTTATTTTGCTAAAACTACTAAAATGTCAACATTAAAATAAAATGAACATTTATGAAAGATACATGTCCAATTTTTTTATTTTTAGTTTTAAACTTATATCTCAGGTCATTCTAGTCCCAGCAGAGAAAAAGGGAGATGGTTGACAGAAAAGACTTACCTGAAAATATTTCTATCTTCAGGCAGAATGGTCCCATACATGTCTTCTCCTTCGGTTCGCATGGCTTGCCAGGCCCCTTTGAAGAGCACAGTCTGCATTTCACAGCGTCTGTTGTAATAGACAGCATTTCGTTTGTGAAGGGACCAATCAGTATTCAATGTCCAACTAAACTTGCATCTCTGTGTATAGATTAAGAGATGGAAATTGTTTGTGGCAAGCTCCTGTGCCCTGAGACTAGCAACACCTCCCACCTAGACAACTAGACCCTCTTTTCCAAAGATGACACGATCTGTCCTGCAACTTGCAGTGTTCATGTTTTCATCAGGAGGCAGGAGAAAAGCAGCTTCCTTTCACAGGTAAAAGGGAAATTGAACTCTCCCCTGAAATGGGCTCCAAGGTACAGAATTTCACCTTAAGAACTGGATCTGATGAATTGAGACAATCGTCAGTAGGGTTTTCTGCGGTTTGATGTGCTTGGATTCAGCCACAAACACTTTCCTGGGGAAAGTGGTGAGGCAAATGGAAAACCGCCTGGCTCTTTCCTCAAAAGCACAGGATGAGCAGCAGTGTGCATGAGCCCTGAATCTACCCAGCTATACACATACAAGAGAGGGGTAATTTGATTCATTTCTACAAACACAGGGAGCTGCCTTGTCTATTTTGCCCCGTTATCAGGATGCTCCACTCTCTTCTCACTGAAATGTTCACCTGGAGATGATAGGTAGGGGATTAACTAGGGGCTTTCTCAATGGAAGGCATGTGCTCCAACACTGAACTATCACGTCCCCACTTTAGGAGGCATGTACAGTGGTACCTCAGGTTACATGCGCTTCAGGTTACAGACTCCGCTAACCCAGAAATAGTACCTTGCGTTACGAACTTTGCTTCAGGATGAGAACAGGAATCGTGTTCCGGCGGCACTCGGCAGCGGGAGGCCCCATTAGATAAAGTGGTGCTTCAGGTTGAGAACAATTTCAGGTTAAGAACGGACCTCCAGAACGAATTAAGTACTTAACTCGAGGTACCACTGTATTCCACTCTTGCCCCAAAGTACATCCCCTCCAGTTGCTCATAGATTTAACCTATGTAAAACAGTGGCTTATTCTTGTTTTACCTATTTTGGGATGGGGAATGGGAGCAATACTTACCTCCAGTCCTGAGGCAAAGCAGAACACAAAATGTAAGTAGCCAGACCTGAAGCAGACGTGGCCTTCGATTACCAAGAAACAAGCTCAGCTCCGTTGGAATGCCTTTTGTATGGAGAGACAGCTTTCGAAGGCTAGCAGCTGAGAAACCGCAGGTTTTCAGGGCAGGCAGGAACACGATGCCCAATTTGAGGAGCCGGGTTCAAGATATCCATTATATAAGGCTGGGAGGAACCCTCTTGGCTTCTCACCTCATCCTGGTGGCCTTTAAAGGTCCAAGGAGCCTCTGGCAATATCCTGGGTTGACAGTGAACTATAGCAAGGATGAAGGCAGTGGTTGCCTTGGGCCATTTCAGGCACAAAGTGCTGGTTGTTAGGACAAATCCAGATGGGCTGAGGGATCAGCTGAATGCTGCACAGAACCTCCCAGATCTCATCTTTTGTGGAAGAATTGCTTGCTCCTTTCATTGGGTTTCCTATTCAGCTCTGGGTTTCAATTGTGACACGAAGACGTTCTGAGCAGCCGATTCTCATATAGCCTGCATGCTGGCTTGATCATCCATATTGCTAGAAAGTTCTGTTGAAAGGAGCTCACTTTTTTATTCTGTTGCTGCTCACAGCAGTATGAAAGGTGTGCACAAGTATGTTTCTCTGTCCACCTTCCGTGAGTGATACATGGTGAAGGAATGATCACCGGGTGGGAAGCACACTTCCACCTGCTGGGTGTGGAGCACACTTCCACCCACAGACAAAGCCACAGCTGTCTGAACATCATGCCCTCTATCTAACCTTTGCTCTCTTAGTGGTCTGCTGTGCCCTGTCTGTGACCTTTGTCTCCTTCGTCATACATGGTTCAAGGGGAAATGACGCAGTGGAAACAGGTGCCAAAATAACTTTGTACCACCCCTCGATCTCAGGATTGGAAGACGTGTAAAGGTCACAGTCCAAAATCTATCTGACTGGTTTTGCATATTGTGCTAATAAAAAGAGCTTGCATTATTAGCATATTGTGCTAATAAAAAGAGCAGAGCTAGCTGGCAGCTTGCTTATGAACAGCTTACCTGCATTACCAACTCCTGCCTCATGTCCTTCACTTCACATGGTCCTTTAATATTGCATCCATCTTAGACCATGTTCAAAGACATAGGACCCGGAAATCAAAGCGGGTGAGCCCATGTCATTCATTTGCCGCCTCATGGATTTTTGTGGCTCCACAGCATTGGTTATAGATGCCAGTTTAACAAGTTATCAGTTGATTTGTGTGGTAAAGTATCAATTTACCACCATCAGCTGAAGGGCAGGTTTTGCTACCACTGTTCCCAAGTCCAGTGATTGCCTTTCCTCTGATTGGAATGAATGGCAACTCTTCACTTGCAGGGGAGTAGGTCAAGTGTTGCAGTTGAGAGAACTATGGGCAGAAGCTGAAATCTGTTCTCTGACTTTTGACTACTATACCCAGGATGCCCAACCCACCTGCCCCTAGTTAGAAAACCCAATCTTGCTATAGATGGAAAAATCTGGTAATAACTAGTAGCAACTGGTCAGCTTCTGAAAAACAACGGTTGCTTGGCTTGAGGAACCAGCTTCAACATAGCCATTATATAAAGCCAATAGGAACCTTATTAGCATCTCAGGGCACCTGATCATGATGGGGTTGGTGGGTACCAGAAGCCTCTGGCAATATGCTGTGGTGTCTGAGGAACAACAATGATGTGGGGAGTGTAGGTACCACTCCGACAGGAAGGTAAACGGCGTTTCCATGTGCTGCTCTGGTTTTGGTGTTCTGTTGCACCAGAAGTGGCTTACTCGTGCTGGCCACATGACCCAGAAAAAACTATGGACAAACACTGGCTCCCTCGGCCTGTAAAGCAAGATGTGCGCCGCAACCCCAGATTCGTCTGTGACTGGACTTAACTGTCAGGGATCCTTTACCTTTACCTTTACTATTATTTAAGGCTAGGGTGAACCTTCTTGACTTCTTCTCTCATGCTGGTAAGCTTGAACGGTGCAAAGGTAAAAGGTAAAGGACCCCTGGACGGTTAAGTGCAGTCAAAGGCAGCTATGGGGTGCAGCGCTCATCTCGGCTTTCAGGCCGAGGGAGCCGGCGTTTGTCCCCAGACAGCTTTCCGGGTCATGTGGCCTGCATGACTAAACTGCTTCTGGTGCAACAGGACACCGTGGAGCGCATGGAAGCGCTGTTTACCTGCCCGCTACAGCAGAAACTATTTATCTACTTGCACTGGCGTGCTTTCGAATTGCTAGGTTGGCAGGAGCTGGGACAGAGCAACAGGAGCTCACCCTATTGGCAAACCCAAGAGGCTCCATGGTTTAGACCACAGCACCACCGCATGAAGCCTCTGTGAATATGCTTGGGTGGCCCTGAAGAGGAACAGGGATGCGGGTAGTAATTCCTTAAGATGTTAGGTGCATAATGTACTGATTTTTCAGACAAATCGAAATGGGCTATACAGAATGTCCCAGGCTTCTATGAGCTCCTGATGCCAGAGTAGATTTTTCCACAGCCAATCAGGGCCTAGGGGCATATTTTCCCAGAACTAAAGGGTGTATGTGAATCCCCCTTCTGCTACAATAGTACGTTTTTGCTGTTCCCAGTGATCCCATAACCAGAAGGAATAATAAAATACTTGCTTCTTTTATTGTTAATCACTTTATCTTGCCCACGGAAATCCAAATCTTGGTAAGTGTTTTTGGTGTTTAGTCAATCAGCCAACTACAAATTCACCTAACCATAGTATCAGCTAGTCCACATCTTACCAACTTCTCCTCAAAACTATCACTGAGGACTTTGTTTGTTTTCCATAGTCTGTGCATTGGTATAGAGACAACTAAGACCATTAGTAATTCCATCCAGCTGCTTCCTTCTTTTGCTTGCTTGCCCTTTAGTAGGTTACTCAGTTTCCTGTGCATCCATGAAGCACCAGCACCAGTTGTACTTTCTCATTAAAATTCCCTCAGTCTTGAGGAAAGGAAAAGATAAGGTACAGTGATTTCTTTTGTGTTCGAGTTACAATAATTACACAGGAACCAAAATAGAATACAGACTGCAACTTGATTTTTAAACTTTATTGAAAGGAAGCATGATGGTTTGCATGATGGCTGCTGCTGTCAAGAAGCAGGTTTTTGCCTGTGTTTGCATATATTTGGACACCATTTTGAAACCAGATGACAGACCGGAAGCAAAACAGAATACAGACCACAAGTTCACTTACAAACTTTATTGAAAGAAAGCATTGAAGCATCCAATAAAACAATATCACAAGGTATTATTCTTACGTTATTCTGCATGAAAAACTAGCAGTAATTTTAACTATTATTATTGAACTCTATGTTGATTGGCCACCTAGAACTCCCACCAGTCCAAACTATTTAAAAGCTTTGCTACGTTCCACTTGCATTGCAATGTTCAGGAAGGACAACAAAGAACAAACTCTCTCTGCCCAAGAAGCCTTGGAGGAGCAGGGTTCCATGAGCTTTAGGAAGAGAGGAATTGAGAATCTGATGGACAGGGTCCAGGAGAAGCTCCAGCTCCTTACCTGACCATCCTGGCCGTGAGTATGGGATGGGATGCTCTAACAAGGCAATTAAGGGCTGGCCAATCAGGACTGCTCCCAGAGTTAGGTTGCATGCTGTTCTGCAAAATGTAAAATCACAGCCTAGGGATGGGATTTGTTGCTTTCCTATGCATGTTTAGAGATCACAGAGTTTTGAGTGCAAGATTGAGAGCAGTGAGGGAGAATATTGGTGTGAAAAGAGGTTTTTCAAAAATTGGTGCCCTAATCTGAAACAAAACATTGCAATCGGTTGGGGTAGATGCTTCGGCTCCAGAGCATGGAAGCACCACCCAAGTTTGTACTTGTATTTGCTTCCAATGAACCTTGTCGCCATCCCTAGCACAGGTTAGTATATTTGATAACATCTTCTGTGATTTGCCAAGTTCAAGCAGGGATTGGCGAGTGATAAAGAGACATGTCTATCAACTCTCCAAGGAACATCCCACCCCACCCCAATACCCAAGTCAATTATGCACTTTTGCATGGGGAAGTTACTTTTCAAACTATCAGACAGTGAAGGAGTGCATAAATGAGTGAGCACAAATGAGTGGTCCTCCTCTCGGGAGCAGGAAGGAGAAATGAAGTTGTGAACTGAATGAGTGTTTGATTAACAAGTATGGATAGCCAAATTGGGGGGTTTCCTGTGCTCATGGAGGCTTCCCAATGCACTTAGGGTGCTGGAAAATCATCGGTCTAAGATATATGGCAGCCCTCCGCAAATACAGAAGACTCCCCAGGTCACACAGTCAGCCACCATTTTGTGGAGGACGGTGAGGCTGGTGGGTGTGGAACATCCCCTGAATGTGATTTTTAGACGTGGCATCAGAATATTTGTGTGGGGCTTTTGTCTGTCATTTGACTTGAATCCATTGAAAGGAAAGGATATGAAATCTTCTAATATTACGTCTCTCAAAGGAGAAAGAGAAGGAGAAAGATTTCTTACCCACCCTTTTACCATGAGGTTTCTGGATAGGGGTAAACAACTTAAGAATAGGATAGTAAGATCAGTCAAAACATAAGTCAGTATGGCAGCATGCTACTGTCTTTTTCACTTTCCCTGGCATCTCTTTTCCACAGAATTCTTTCCAACTCTTAGCGCCACATTCTTTGACATAAGTAATCACTTCACCACTTTGACCTGGCAAGAGAAAGAGAAGTACTTATGTTGATATTAACTAGTGAATGAAGAGAATTTTACTGAATTAGTCCATGGTCTGTGTAATGTTGATGCTGCTCATGATGCTGCCTGCCAGTCGCTGTGCACGAGCGACGTCAGGGACTGACGGATTGCTGTAATGTGTATGGGTTGCTCGTGCGTAAGTTGCCGCCTCTCCAGGCTTTGTTGCCTTGCTAAACCTTTCAGTCTGGGCAGCCCTCCACTTTGTGGCTGCCTCAGTCGCTAGCAGAATCCGTCAGTGGGCGTTTCTTAAATCTTTTCCAACACCCAGTCTCCTCCTACTCTCTCTGCGCGGAACTCTTCTGCGCAGGGTGGGCGTGGGTAGCGGGGGACCCGTGCTCTCCCCGCTGGTGTCCAATGAAGAGTCCTGGAGCTCTCTCGCCGATTCCCCCATCAGCCCCTCTTTATCCCTGGTGTTGGGCTGATTTGCTTCCCCATCTGCGGAGCTGCCTCTCTCCCTGCTGGGCCCTTCTCCAGCATCATTTGAGAGCCTTCCCTCCGCTTCTAGCTCCGATGTCAGTTCCCTGACAGTCTGTATAAAGAGATACTCTACATCAAAGTAAATTACATTTTAGACCTCATTTTAAAATGTGCACTTAAACAGAATTTTCAATTTATGCTGCTAAATGTCAACATTAAAATAAAATAAAGTTAAAACTTATGAAAGATACATGTCCTTTAAAAAAACAACAACCGACCCTTAAATCTCAGGTCGTCCTAGTCCCAGCATAGAAAAAGGAAGAAAGAGACAAGAAATACTTACCATAAGTCTCTGCCATAATACAGAATGGTCCCTCACATGTCTTCCCCTTCGGTTCGCATGGTTTGCCAGGACTAAGTGACCTGCATTTTCTGCAGTTCACAGCATCTGCTGTAAGAGACAGCATTTCATTTGGGTAGGAACCAACCAATATTCAATTTCCTAAACCACCAAAATCCTGCTGGCACACATAGCTGTCAGAATCGATCCCAGAACAACAATAGAAGAATGCTTTCCCCCTTGGAAAGTGAGACTAAATTTGCATTTCTGTGTATAGATTAAGAGATGGAAATTGTAGACAAATTTGTGGCACGCTCCTGTACCCTGAGACTAGCAACTCCTTCCACCTAGACAACTAGATCCTCTTTTCCAAAGATGGCACGATCTGTCCTGCAGCTTGCTATGTTCATGCTTTGATCAGGAGCCAGGAGAAAAGAATCCTCCTCCCTCTGGTAAAAGGGAGGTTGAACTCTGCCCTGAAATTGGCTCAAAGGTACAGAATTCCACCTTTTTTTTTTTTTTTTTTTTTATTTATTGCATTAGCCGAGTGGCCATAGCATGACATACATTGAAATAACAACATAAAATGGGGGTGGGGAGGTAGAGGTAGACATCGTCCTGGGCGAATACTTAAAGAAAGTGGAAAAAAAAAAAAAAAGCTGCTGAGGCTGGAGGAGGACCGTTAAAGGGTCCTTCAGCTCCTCAGATTAGTCCTAACTCGATTGTCCTTGTACAATAAGGCTACTTGGAACTTCGTTCGGTTGTGCGGCGTATCGACTGCATCTGTGGTGTTAAGGAAGAAGTTAGTGCCGCTTTCCTCTTCATCACACTAAGCAGGAAATTAGCTGTCATCTCAGTAATCCAACAATCAGAATCCTGCAAAAAGAGGGACACTATCCAAGGCTGGATTGGGAGATGGAACTTATTCACGAGGGGAGTTAAAAACCGAGATCTTTCATCTGTCCAGTTGGGACAGAAGAGCATTACATGTTCCATAGTCTCCAGGGCCGTGTCATTACAGGAGCATGTTCTGTTTGCGATGGGAACTCTGGAATAGCGACCCGACAGAACTGCTGTAGGAAAACAGTTGAGACGGGCACAGGTAAAAGCCCTTCGCTTAGTCTCCGAAGAAATTGTGAAGCAGTATAGAGGGATCCCTTCAGGGGGTGGAATAGCTAGGGCTAGGCCTGAACACGGTCCTCTTGCACAAGAAGCTGTGTTGGAGAAGTCAAGTTGCTGTAGTTTCTTTTTAATTAGGGGTAGGGCCACCGGGCTGATACACTCTAAGTTAAGAACAGTTTTACAATTCAGATTGAGAAGAGAGCGGAATTTGAGGTTAATTGTAGTTTTCCAAGGGGAATTATGAATATCTCTTAGGATCAGATTGGAAAAGCCACCTCTAATTCGAGCATCCGATGCTAATAGGTGGAGGGTGTAGGAAATGGCTCGGCTCCATGCTCGTCTAGCAATTGAAGGCTGGGCGAACTCGAGTCGTAGGGCTGCACCTGAGACACATCTCGGGACGCCGGAAAGAGATCTCAGAAACATATGAAGTGGACGATCCAGGTTACCTGATATTGCTGTAGTCCATACTTCACATCCATATAATAATTTAGGGACGACTTTGGCATTAAATATTTGAATTGCTGCTGGAAGGTGTTTGCCGCCCTTCTGGTGGTAAAATCGGACAATGGCGTTAGAGGTCGTGGTTGCAGCGAGAAAGGCAGATTGTAGATGGGTGGTCCAGGAGAGATTATAGGTGAATATTAATCCTAAGTATTTAAAGGCTTTTACCTTTTCTAAGTAGCCACCTGTGATCTTAAGCGGCTCCAACTTGAGTTTGCGGGAACGAGTGAAGTGGAGGACTTTCGATTTTTTATAATTAATATTAAGAGCTTCCGCCTTACAATAGGCGATAAATGCATTAACTGCATTTGCTAGATCCGCAGCTGTTCTGGATAAGATGACGGCATCATCAGCATAGAAAAGGGAAGCAACGAGGTGGCCTGCTAAGTGAGGAGGATACTTAGATGCTAGCTTCAGAGTGGAAATTGCATCATGAAGATAGAGATTAAACAGTAAAGGGGCCAAGAGGCAACCTTGTCGGACGCCCTTGGCCGTTGGAAATGGAGTAGTGGGGAGCCGTTTGGACTAGTTCGGACGCGAGCTGTGGTGTTTGAATAAAGGGAGATAATTAGGGAGAGAAGGTGCGGATCAATTCCCAGATGGGCAAGTTTGGACCATAATCTCTGCCTAGGAATGGAATCAAAGGCGGCCTCCAGGTCCATGAAAGCGGCAAATAGGTGGCCTTGCCTTGGAGCAGTGTATTTACTGGCAAGGTGAAAGAGAGTTAGACAATGGTCCATGGTTGACGCTGACTTTCGGAAACCAATCTGTTCTAGCGGTAGAATGTTCCTCTCCTGGACCCATGAGAGAAGTTCCTCCAGTAAAACAGCGGCAAATATTTTCCCGGGATGGATAATAAGCTGATGGGGCGATAGTTCCTAGGGATGTTTGGCTGGCCGCCTTTGAAGATCGGAACTATTATAGCTTCTCTCCAGGAGTCGGGGATGTCTAGGGCGGAGGAGATAGCGGTGAATACAGGAGTCAGGTGTTCGCTCCACCAAAGAGGATCAGTCAGGAAAAGGTCCAACGGGACCATGTCTGGGCCGGGGCCTTATTCCTTTGCATTGACATTATGATGTTGAAAATGCGAGTTGAAGTAAAGTTTATTGAAGAAGTGGGACTAAGAGAGCAGGAACTGAGGTCCAATGGGGATTGAAGGAGATCTGTAAGATGGTTTGGAGAAGCGAAACTAGTTGAATAATAAGCAATCCATTCATCCGCGGAAATCTGGGTAGCTGGATTGAATGGTGCCGAAGGTCTAACTAGGCGCCAGAAGGAGCGGGAGTCATGCCTCTCTACAGCCGAACGAAGAGTGGACCAAGCCTCAAAGATGTACTGCTGTTTCTTGCAATGAATCATGTTTCTATATGTCTTTTTAATATCTACTGAGCTTTGCACGGGTTTGGGGGTCGTTGGAAGATTTGATGATTCTGACCATTTTCCTAATTCGCCTTCTTAGGGCTTTACATTCCTTGTCAAACCAGGGCGATTCAGAGAAGAGGCGTTGGTAAGTAGGCGAGGTGGTGGTTATGTAAGTTGTTGAGAAAGCATCAAGTAATTTCCGGTATTGGTCAGCGGGCAGGATTGGATCAGAGGGAACTGCAGACATATCAAATGATTTTTGTATGTCCAGGGCAAGAGAGGAGCTGAGGCTTGTCCATTTCTTTGTTTTGTATACAGGGTGGCTTTGTACCATGGTTCTATAGTTTGAGGAGACTGGGAGTGGCTCTATTAGGTTTAACATTAGAGTCAATGGAAGGTGGTCACCACCAAAATATTCAGCCACTTCCATTTTTGTAGAAATTGAGAATAGCTCCGGCGTCAATAAAATGTAATCGACAACACTGGTTCCCCGGGAAGTGATGCACGTTAATTGCTGCGAGGACAAGGGAGTAATGTTACCATTTGCGATGCAGAGATCGTTTTCCATGGCCAGTTGGGCCATCAGCCTCCCGACGCATTTGTTATAGGATCAAGAGAGCATCTGTTTCCCCAGGGGGGCTGCAGAGGATTGTCCAGGAGTGCTGCGGGAGATATTATATCATCGTCGTTGGGACCTATTCTTGCATTAAAGTCGCCTAAGAGGATTTGAGGGAGTCCTGGGTTAGTTGTTTGGAGATCATGGAGCCAAGACGAAAGTTCAGACCACCTTTCATTGCGGTCGAAATCATTAATTGCTGGGGGCAGATATACTGTAGTTATCAACCATGGGCTTTTGGTCTTTGGGAGATGAATCTTTATGGTGAGAAAGTAAGGGGAAGATTTAATTTCCTCGCAAATAGTGAGGGGTAAGCTGGTTGAAATAAGACAGGCGAGGCCAACTTGGGGGCGACCCCTGTTGGTTAGTTTACGAGCACAGGAGCTAAAGGAGCAATAATTTGGGAGAACAATACTTTGTTGGGACCAGGTCTCTTGGAGGCATACAATGTCGAAAGAAGAGATGAGATTCATTGCTTCAGGATCCATTTGCTTTGTCGCCCAGCCGTTAACATTCCAGGAGACAATTTTAAGGCTCTGGGGTAGGTTGGGTGCGTCTTTCAAGGAAACAACTGCTTTTGCTTGATTTGTGAGTGAGGGTTGAGTCTGTTCGTATCTAATGATATCGGATTCCACCTTGAGAACTGGCTTTAACCTAGAAGTTGCTGAATTACAACTTATCACTAAACTGAAAACTATGTATAGACGTCATCTTAATAGAGATATTGGATTCCTGTCTCATTACATATGCTAATCATCTGCATACTATCCCTTGCTTTTTCCTGCAGGACTAACTGCAGTCGTTAACAGTCATCAACAGGTTTACCAAACCCATTGAGTCAATCACCCACCTCCTACTACCCTCCTGAGAAAAACCCCTCCCCACCCTCCCACTATATATAAGGGTCGGGTGACTTCTGTTTCAGTGTACCTATTCAGGGACTGGTGGGTGGGGAAAATACTTACCTCCAGTCCTGAAGCAAAGCAGAACACAGAATGTAAGTAGCCAGACCTGAACCAAACGTTGGCCGCGGTTCTCAAGAAACAAGCTCTGCCCCATTGGAAAACCTTCTTGTATGAAGCCTTTTTGCTTTCGAAGGCTGACAGCTGAGAGACAGCAGGTTTCAGGGCAGATCAGTATTACTTGCTCAAGCTCTGGTCAGGCACACGCTGCTCAGTTTGAGGAGCCGGGTTCAAGATATCCATTATATACGGCTGGGAGGAACCCTCTTGGCTCCTCACCTCATCCTGGTGTCCTTGAAAGGTCCAAGGAGCCTCTGGCAACATCCTTGGGTCACTCGGATGGGCAGCGGAGAGTGAAGGCGACAGTTGTCTTGGGCCCTTTCAGGCATAAAGTGCTGATTGTTAGGGCAAATCCAAATGGACTGAGGGATTAGCTGGATGGTGTACAGAATGTCCCGGACCTCAGGAGATGCCTGATGCTATCTCACAAGGGTTTTCTGTCCAGCTCCAGGTTTCAATTGTAATAATACAATGTTCCGAGCAGGCAACTCTCAACCAGCCTGCAGATTAATAATAATAATAATAATAATAATAATAATCCTTTATTATTATTTATACCTCACCATCTGGCTGGGCTTCCCCAGCCACTCTGGGCGGCTTCCAACAAAATATTAAAATACAGTAATGCATCAAACATTAAAAGCTTCCCTAAACAGGGCTGCCTTCATATGTCTTCTAAAAGTCTGGTGGTTGTTGTTCTCTTTGACATATGGTGGGGGGGGGGCTTCCACAGGGTGGGAGCCACATCGGAGAAGGCCCTCTGCCTGGTTCCCTGTAACTTGGCTTCTCGCAGTGAGGGAACCACCAGAAGGCCCTTGACACTGGACCTCAGTGTCCTGGCAGAACAATGGGGGTGGAGATGCTCCTTCAGATATACTGGACCGAGGCCATTTAGGGCTTTAAAGGTCAGCACCAACACTTTGAATTGTGCTTGGAAACATACTGGGAGCCAATGCAGGTCTTTCAAGACCAGTGTTATGTGGTCTCAGTGGCCGCTCCCAGTCACCAGTCTAGCTGCTGCATTCTGGCTTAGTTGTAGTTTCTGGGTCACCTTAAAAGGTAGCCCCACGTAGAGCACATTGCAGAAGTCCAAGTGAGAAATAACCAGAGCATGCACCACTCTGGCGAGGCAGTCTGCGGGCAGGTAGGGTCTCAGCTTGCGTACCAGATGGAGCTGATAAACAGCTGCCATGGACACAGAATTGAACTGCGCCTCCATGGACAGCTGTGAGTACAAAATGACCCCCAGGCTGCGCACCTGGTCCTTCAGGGACACAGTTACCCCATTCAGGACCAGGGAGTCCTCCACACCTGCCCGCCTCCTGTCCCCCCAAAACAGTACTTCTGTCTTGTCAGGATTCAACCTCAATCCATTAGCCGCCATCCATCCTGCAACCGCCTCCAGACACACAGGATGTTCACCGTCTTCACTGTTTCTGATTTGAAAGAGAGGTAGAGCTGGGTATCATCCACATATTGATGGACAAACCCACAGCCCAAACCCCCTGATGATCTCTCCCAGCGGCTGCATGTAGATGTTGAAAAGCATGGGGGAGAGGACAGAACCCTGAGGCACCCCACAAGTGAGAGCCTAGGGGTCTGAACCCTCATTCCCCACCACCACTTTCTGAAAACGGCCCAGGAGGAAGGAATGGAACCACTGTATGACAGTGCCTCCAGCTCCCAGCCCATCTAGACAGTCCAGAAGGATATTATGGTCGATGTATCAAACGCCACTGAGAGATCCAGCAGAACTAGGAAACAGCTCTCACCTTTGTCCCTAGCCCACCGGAGATCATCGACCAGCGCGACCAAGGCAGTTTCAGTCCCATGATGAGGCCTGAATCCTGACTGGAAGGGATCCAAATGGTCTGCTTCCTCTTCTGCCTGGAGTTGTTCAGCAACCACTCGCTCAATCACCTTGCCCAAGAATGGAAGATTTGAGACTGGGCGATTGTTGGCCATATTGGCTGCATCTAAAGATGGTTTTTTATGAAGCGGTTTGATAGGCGCCTCTTTTAGCGGGTCTGGGAAGGCTCACTCACAGAGAGAAGCATTCACCACCCCACGAAGCCCATCGCTCAGCCCTTCCCGGCTAGCTTTTATTAGCTTTTATTAGCCAGGATAGACCAGGATCAAGGAGGCAGGTGGTTGGTTTCGCTTGTCCAAGCAGCCTGTCCACATCCTCAGGGGTAGCAGATTGGCATTGATCCCACGCAAATTGACTAGACAGGACTCTAGCACTCTCCTGCCCTGGCCCTGCTCCTATGGTGGAGTCTAACTCTTCCTGAATCTGAGGGACTTTATCTGCAAAAAACTTTGCAAAATCATTGCAGGAGATCGTGTGGCCCGTACTGGGTCCTGATGAAACAGAATGGGTGACTGCTGATCAGCCCATACTCCCGAATCGTTGTGTTAGCAGCTTTCATTTGTACAGCGTAATGAATGGTATGCACAGCCATGTGTTTCTGCCAGTCTTCCATGAGTGATATATAAGTGATCCTTTAATTTTGCATGTATCTTTGACCTTGCTCAGAGACCTGGGACACTGTAATTGCCATTCCTGCCATCCCTTCATGGAAGTTTATGGTTCTACAGTGTTGGCCATAGATCTCAGTGGAGCAAGCTATCAATGTGGCAAGGTATCTATTTAACATGTTTACCTGGCGGAGGGGGATTTTGTGTGTATGGGTGTTATGTACTGAGTTGAACAGGATCCATAATGCAGCAGTCTGATTGGTCCTAGAACAATAGGATTCAGAATGCAGCAGTCTGATTGGTCCTAGAACAAGGCAGCAGTATGATTGGTCGGCAGGAACCACCCAATCCAGCTCCAGATAGAAGTGAATCCACAACCTGATTGGCCTACAGGAGAATTCCGGAATTAGACAATCACGTGCAGCCCATTGTGTAAATAATGTATATAAAGCAGATACTTTGAGGGGACTTCCATTCCCTCCTCACCACTATGAGCTGAATAAAGAGCATGAAATCCACTCTCAACTCTGAGTATATTTCAATGTGTTACTCTTAGTATTAACTAATGAGACCTATAATGGAAGGAGTGTGTTTGCAAGGGTTTGGGGTATGCAGGCCTCCATCAGAGACAGTTTGGATGACATACTATGCAGGCGCTGAGTGGATTTCTGTGCAACCATTTTGACCTTGCCCCAGACACTCCCACAGCTTGTAAATTGGACGAATTAAATGGAACCATTTTCCCTCAAAAAGACTGCACCAGAATCCTCAGTAAAATGCCATTTTACAATGAACCATAGAAACAAGTATTGTGTAGCAGGGGGGGGAGGGGGGGAGAATGAAAAAAAGAAATTTAGAGGGTTCCGTCTGCCACAACAGTAAGTTTTGGAATATCCCAATCACTCAGTCACCAGAAGGATACAACAGGAAACCAGTCCTCTCTCCAAATGCAAAAACTGAATTCACTGGAGGATGATCTGTTAGAGCCAGCAATTTATTTTCAAAGCTGGATCTAGACGCATCAAAAAAGCGTTTCAGGAAAATGTAAATTCATAAAGGGAAATCACATTGTAAAAAGATGGGATTCCACATCACCATCTGGTGGCACGATGTTATAAAGTATATGAAGCACTTTTTCTTTACTATTGTAGCTGAACCCCAAGTTTCCACTGGATTCCCAAACTAGGCAATAAATAGCAGTAGTAGCTTAACTTATGGTAAGGAAGATGTTGCTCATGTTTGAAGAATCAGGTTCTGTTAGGTAGATTTATTGCTTTATTGTTCGGCGTCCGGCACGCTTCCCCTGCACTCCTCTGCAGGTCGTAAAGCAATTAGCAGAATTGCACAGCGTCCGTGTTGAAAGGGCAGTAAAACAAGTCCCACACGTTTCTTCTGACCTAATATCACTTTATTTGCTCAAAAGTAGCATATTTACAAGCAAGAAATTCCATCTGATTCAAGCTGCATTTTTCTCTGCGTCCTTCTCTCTCAGTGTGCAGCTGCGTAACTAAACTGCTTTCACTTTTCACTCAGCTCACAGCATTCCAAGCTGCTTTCGTCACGTCCTGGCTTACTTCCCTTGTAAGCGCCTCCTCTCAGCCTCGAGACACAGAAGGTTAACCCTTCACTACACCCAACACCCCCTCTTGTCTCGCGCCTGAGGGGAGAATCGACCCTTGGTCGTCCCAAACCCAGACCTTCGCAAAACTCCCCATGTCTTTGGAAGGTGAGTGGCTTCGTGAACCCATCAGCTAGATTCTTGGCAGAGGGACAATACTTCAGCGCAACTAATCCCTCCTGAACACTCTGGCACACATTCCGAAAGCGAATGTCTAGGTGTTTAGTTCTGGCCTTGAACTGACCTGACTCTGCCAAACGCAGGCATGGTTGATTGTCCTCGAAAACACGTATCGGCAGACAATCCACTTCGCAGAGTTCCTGCACCAAACAAGCATAGAACTCTACTTCTCTGCACATCTCTGAAAGAGCACTGAACTCAGCCTCAGTGGATGAGAGCGCTATAAGACTTTGCTTCTTGGACCTCCATCCAACTACTGAGTTCCCAAACATCACCACTAGGCCAGACACCGACTTGTGATCCTCAAGATTAGCCCAATCCGAGTCCACAAAGCAAGTCAGTTTGACTTCTCCTTGTGCTGGCAACCTAAGACAAAAGTCTTTGGTCTCCTGCAAATACCTCAGAACTCTCTTGATGCCATTCCAGGCTTGCACACTAGGGTTTGATGCTTCCCTGCTGAGCAGATTGACAGCAAACGCTATATCAGGTCTGCTCCACTGGGACAAGTACAACAAACTCCCTAGAGCTGACTGAAACACTTCAGTATTTTCGAACGCAGCGCATTCTACTTGCTGGCTGTCCTTCACAAAACTAGTCTCCATAGGACTTCTTACTCCTGCACAAGCTAAAAGCGTTCTCAGAGTCTCCGCTCGTGACGTTGGCGAATACACCTCCGTGAAGTGTATCCCCTTCCTCTGAGTAAATCCTCGAGCAACTAACCTGGCTTTATACTGCGGCTCTCCAACGTCAGTGGGTTTCAAGCGGTAAACCCATCTGGAACTCACAGCCTGCTTTCCCGGTGGCAACT